GAAGAGGGTCTTCACTGCCCACCCCCTAACAAGGTGCTTATACAGTTTGGGGCGCTTGCTGCAGGTGAGACCTCGCTCACCAAATTCTCCTGGGAGAATTTGAATTGAACCGGCAAAGCAAACGTAGGATTCCAACAACGCTGAACAACTCAGACACTCAGGAAACACAAGTAAGGAGGAGCGCCACTGGCAGGCCTGAGAGGACCAGGTCTTAGCACAGGTGACAAACACAGGGAAAGGGACCCGTGTCACCCACCACACAGGCCAGGAACCGACTATCAGCAGGGAAACCTCATCCCAGCGCTCAGGGAGCCGCGGGCAGCGAGTGGGAATCCACAAGTGGCAGGCTGCCGCCGCTGGCCGGGCTCCGCGCGCCTTCCCGCCGGTCCGCGCTTACCTGCGATTCCTTGCAGGAGCCCGCAGACGTTGAAGATACTCTTCTTCATGATGCTCTGCACACACATGGTGAAGACCGACACCAGGGCCACCACGCAGAGAATGGAGATCCCCACGGCCAGGAAGATCGCGGTGGCTTGCCAGAAGCCGCTGGCGATCTCGCCGAAGCTCTCGGCGTAGGGCCCGCACAGCGTGTCCCGCGGGAGGTGCTGCACGCCCGGGTTGCGGATGCAGCGGGCGTAGATGCCCAGGGTCGGGTGGTAGGGCTCGGAGGGGCCGGCGCCCGTGGGCTCCGCGCCGCTGCGGCTCTTGGCTCTCCCGATCAGCCAGTCTGCGCTCATGAAGGCGATGAGCTCCGCAAAGGCCACCACGATACTCAGGAGGGTCCAGAGCATGGAGCGGCAGGTGACAATGACATGACACATATTGGTGCTCGCGAGGGGAGATGCGGCAGGGGTCCAGGGGTCAGTGTCTGGTGTGCTTTTTTTCTTTTTAAGCCAGCCGGTGGGGGCGCGGGAGGCAGCCCAGGCGGCTCGGGAAGGGGCGGCAGGCAGCGGAGGTCCTCGATCGTTCACCCCGGGGGACCGGCGGCATTCCTGCTGAGCGACACCGCCTCCCGAAACTCCCCGGCCCGCGCGGCCTCCTCACCTAGGGCAGAGCAGAGAGCAGGGCGTGAGCGGCTCCCAGGCCCCGCCTCCCGGCCCGCCCCCCAGCCGGGCTCCCCGCCCGCCGGCCGGCCCGGGGACCGGAGGGGGAAGGGGGGAAGCCCGCCCCCGCCACCTTCCCGCCCCCGGCTCTCACCCTCCCCGGCCCGGCCCCGCCCGCACCGCCGATCTGTCTGGCAGGGAGGGGTGAGGGGTCGGGGGGGGGGGCAGGGTGCACGCACACACCCAGGTCTCAGCCAGCCTGCAGGGGGGAAGCGGGGCGGTCTGCGGGCATGTGCTGGGTGTCTTTCTTTCCAGGTCTCCCCATCTACAAGCTCACAACTGCGGGTGACTTTATCTGGGGCAGCAGGGCAGGAAGAGAAAGGCGGGGCCTGCACGCAGCGCAGGGTCACCCGCTACTGGGCACACTGCCCTGGCAGCCAGGGCCGGGGAAACTCCTGCTCCCTCGTCTCGTATTAAAGGCAAACAACACAGGGAGATCCAGGTAGATCTGGGCATGACTGGCAGGGGACCACAGCCAACGGCTGGCTGCCTTTCTACAGCTTGCAGGACTGCAACCACTGCTCAGGATCAGACCGGCTCTCACAAACGTTCACCAACTGACAACTGCTCGGAAGATAATTTTTTCAAGGAAGATTTTTTTTTTTTTAAGCCTCTCACCAAAACCTTTTGCTCAACAGTAGGGCAACGGCGGACGCCTGTCTGCAAATCAAATTACTAGGCAGAGACATGAGAGTATTTGCTTTCTAGGTGAAAGGAAAGAGTCTATGAAAAAGAAACAAAACCCCACTGCCCAAACTTTATGTCTCACATTTTGGGGGGACACAATGATTTATATAATAATTTATACTAATTAAAAAGGAAAACTTTCAAAGAAGAGTTCATGACTTTTTGGGGGAAAAAATCACTTAAAATGAGGCATTAACAACCACCAAGTGTCACTACAACTGAGTCCCCTTGTTGACAACAGAAAGTTGTTCCAGAAGAATGCATCTCTTAAATTGGTCCCACTTCATCACATGTGCCTCTGCCTGAGCGTCAGTTCACCCCAGGTCTGCAACTCAACATGCCCATTGTTTCTGATTTCACAGAGGACTCATTCTGTTCCCAAGGACAAATGACTTCATTACCAGAGGACTTTGCCCCAGTGGTTCAACCCTCCTTCAGAGCCTGAACCCTGAATCAAGGGCTAGCAGTGCGGGTGTGCAGTCTCATTTTCTACTCCCTCTCTAAGGTCAGGCAAGATCAAGCAGCTCACATATGACATCTGGGCATATGGCCCTGTTCTGAATGACTCCATCTCATTAACCCAGGTCATGTCAACTCCATGAGAGCCACAAAGAGCCCACTAGGCACACTGAGCTAAGGTGGGGTGAAGACTTAGGGAAGAGAGAGAAGAAGAAAAATAAGGAAACGTGTGTCAAAACTTAAGCGGTCCCCACTCCTATACCACCCACCAGCTGCCTGCGGAGGGACATTCTACTGAATGCTGATGAATCACTCGTGCAACATGATGCACTTAAAACTCCTTATATCACTGTTCTTATGCAAGATGCTATTTTGAGGACAGGGCAGGGTAACACTGGGGACATATGCACGTAATTGTCAGGGTGTGTATGTGTGAAACAGGGCTGTGCTGAGCCCTGGGTAAGGGAAAGGAGGTATGTTCTACTGAGAAAGATTTAGAGTCTGGGTTCCAAAGCCAGCTCCACTTCTGCCTCATAAATGACCTCATCTACCACCTACAGTACAGTCAGTAAGTGTACTCCACCCCCCAAGATTGGAGGAACAGAGATGATCTCTTAAAAACACTCATGTTCTCATCAATAAGCATCAGCTCCAACTCTGATGAGTTCCCCCTAACATTAATGTCTCTGTCCAGATGAGAACAAAACCAGTAGTGGTGTCTGACTCACCTAATAGGTTGTTAGCATTAAGCTAGAATGCATGTCCTCCTTCATTCTCACCCACCTCCCAAACATTACCACATGGAAAAGACTTTGAGTAAATCACTACATGGGATCCAGCTTAGGTAATACTGAAAATGATTGTTCTTGGAGAGAATAAGAAAATGAGCCAGGATGACTTTCTGAAGGCATTGAGAGGCTCAGGGACTTTTTGAACTAACAACAAGAAGAAGCCCAAAGCCTCCCCCTGTTGTTATGAAAATAATTTGCTATTATACCCACCCAGCCTCTGTCCCTCTTCAACGGAAGGTGGGTTTTCAAGGAATATACAATACACATTTGATCACTTGCTGAACTTCAAGGTTCTGCTACAACCTCTTAGATCACTTGTGTCTTACTGGCCACCATTCTGAGTATGAGTGCAATTTCCAAAGAAAAGGTTATGCACTTTCAAAAGCAGGGAAGACGAGGCCTATGGGCTTAGCAAAATGGTTCATGCCAAATTTAAGGCAGGATTACTTAAAATATAGCTCTCTCTCTTGTTTGTGTGCACATACAATTCCCATCCAAATTCCCAGGTCAACACAACCAGGGCTGGGATGAGGCCTCCATTCTAGCCAGGAGATAAGAAGCTTTGGTTCCCCTGACAAGTTTGCTGAGTGTTGCTATCAGAGGACCAGCATGCGATGTACAGCCACAGAAGCGAAACTGGAGCTTTCCAGGGCTCTAAGCAAAGACCATAGGGTGGACAAGGGGAAATCTGGAAAGGTAGCAGGCTGTGCTCCCTGGAAAGGCAGGTGCTTCTTGAGGCAATGACCCTACAAAGGAGAACTAGATCTTCATTATAGATCCTTGTTAACCACAGGGACACAGGACACAGTGGCTCCTCAGACAAGGCACTTACTGCCATCACTGTAATTCCAGGTCCCACAAAACTCCCATGAAACCAGACCCCCACTGCCACTTCAGTGCAAGCCTTCTCACTACACTCCCCTGAGGACATCTGACTTTGTTATCACATCCCTGATAGTTTGGGTAATGTGGTCAGTCTCCAACTTTGAGAAAATAATACTGTAAATGTGACGAAACACAATGTAAAGAAAATAATCTACCAAAGAAAAAGACAAAGAGAATCACATGAACAGTATGTGAGACCAGAGAGCACAGAGGATTTGTAAGCCACATATGCTGAATAGTTCTTCATAAACCTCTAATTATACAAGAAGGATAGGAAAGCTGAGCAGCACAGAGACTTGGTTTGCACCCTAAGTCACAGGGCTCCATCTTTTACATCTTCCAACAGTCAGTTAAGGAGAAAAAGGGTATGGGAAGCCAGAACTAACCTGTGCCTACTGACCAGATTTTCCTAGATTATTGGAACAGGCACAGGAGTAAAGTTCATCTCTACCTAGAAGGCACAGGGAAACAGGAAGGGCAGCAGTTAATGCTGGATCACATAGTACACCCACTCAGCACCACAGAGAAGACCTGGACAAGAATGCACCTTGCTACCTTGCTTACTTACTTTAGATCTGCTCTACACCCTTACTATTAAAATTACAAACAGATATAAGTTGCCATGAATTGACAGTGAGCACCTATATATAACATCCAACACCACAGTTGTTAACACAGTCAGGAGACCCGTTCTACTGATCTAGAGCCTACACATAATTTTTGGTGAGCCATTTGAAAATGAGATGTCTTAATACTTTGTCCCTAAGTGTTTTAGCATACACCTCCTAAAAATGCTGTTTTCCTACAATACAGTGAACAACCCAAGAAAAGTGACAACAATCTTCTTATAGCCAGTGCTGGGCTCAAATTTCCCAATTTCCACTTTTTTTTCTTTTTTGAGGTAACACTGGGGTTGAACTCAGAGCATCAGAGATTCAAACTAGGTAGACACTCTACCAAAGGCATGCCTGCCCCCCCCCCACCTTTTTGTGCTTGTTATTTTTGAGAAGGTCTTGTTTTCTGCTCAGGCATGTGCAGGATCTACTTAATTTAGACTTCTATATTAGTCATGATGCCAGATGTGTGCCCCTGAGCTCAGCTTTCAGTTGAGAAGTTTTCTACCCAAGCTGGCCTTAAACTGCAAACCTTTCAATCTAAACCTCCCAAGTAGCCAACATTATGGAGGTGTGTGTGTGTGTGTGTGCATGTGTGTATCCTGGGGTTTGAACTCAGGGCCTGGGCACTGTCCTTAAGTTTGTGTTTTTGTTTTTTATTTTTTTGGCTTAAGCCTAGTGGGCTACCACTTTCAGCTTTTTGTTAGTTAACTGGAGTCTCAAGGGCTTTCCTGCCCAGGCTGGCTTTAAACTTTGATCCTCAGAGCCTCCCGAGTACTAGGATTACAGGCATGAATCATTGGTGACTGGCTCTGCCCATTTTATAGTCATCTTTTCTTAAAACTGTGACTAAGTTAAAGCTCTTGCATTATATTTGGTTAGTCTGTCTTCACTAGCTTCTCCACCAAACCCAACCTTCTCAGAAGATAGTAAGTCTGTTCTCTTATAGAACATTCAAAAATCTGGATTTGTCTATTTACTTGTGATGTCATTTAAGCTTGCTCTCTATCAAGTGCTTCACAGTAATGGGAAATTACACAAAAGGAGAATTTGGTTAAAATATTCAGTTAAAACATTATTGGTAAAAATCTTGTGTAGATAATGCTGTTATACCTCAGGAAGAGAACAACTTCATGCATTATACATGCCTCTCCCCGCCCCCAACTCTTCCTCCCTCTTTTTTCTTCCTCCATGGCTACAGTTAACTCCTGGCCCAAAAAGTCATAATGGATGGGGAGTAGAGGGTGAGTGGGAGGCTGATCTGAGCAGCCTCTGCAGATTTGAATCCCATAGTGAGCTCTGATATCATGGTTGAGAAACTGTTGTTTTGTTTTGAATTTTGGTGCTGGTCCTGAGGCTTGAATTCAGGTCCTGGGTGTTCTCCTTGAGTTACTTTTGCTCAGGCTAATACTCTTATCACTTGAGCCACAATTCCACTTCTGTTTTTTTTGGTAGTTTAGTGGAGAGAAAGAGTCTCACACTTTCTAGCTTCAAACTGTGATGCG